CACCTTGTATTGAATCTACCCAGATCTAGATACAACCCTGCCTCATCAATTCTAGATTTAGATTTATTAGGCTTAACTTGTAGAACAAATGTTACATCTAAATCTATTAACTTAGTCATTAGATCTGTCTCAGTGCAATGCCTAGTTTAATAGTTAGTATAGGTCTAAGTATGCCTATAATATAGGCTACAATTTGTATGATGATGATGGACCTAAGGTCTAGAAATAAAGTTATAACTATAATTAGTCCTAAACTCTAGTACATTAGTTGGTGTAAGACATGATTTACAATCAACCAATACAATTACAAACCACTACATTAGGCCTATAATGTTTACTAGATCTAGGCCTTGCCTGTTGAATATATTGCCAATCTTGCACACCAGTTAATGTGTTACATAAATCTCATATTTTCTTTTAGTTGAACATACACTTACTTGTACATTGTATTCTAGGACTTGTATTTGATCTACAGATGAATGATGGAATAGTGTAATTTACTTCTGTACATCAATTTGGTCTCACTGTACTTCAGTGGGCGGCTTTTAAAAGTTAAAACTGCAAGCGTAATACACACAAATAATGTAACACTGTGTCGTGTTTACTTAACGTAGGGCAGTTGCACTATATCCTAGGGGAGGGCATAATTATTAATTAATAGGCATTATAGGCCAGAGGAAATTTGCACCCCTTCACACCTGTGCCCGGCGGCGACTGCCACCCCTTGCCCCCATCTTGCTATACCACTGCATAGACACACTCTTATCCAAATATTTCTTAATGTTCAGATAGTGCTGAGAATATTCTTGTTCGTGATGGTATCAAACTGTAGCAGGGAGTAATCGTTTTCGAAATTGAAGCAAATATGTAGTGAGCTTTGGAATAGAATAGGACAAAACCAACTAAACAGTCTGTCTATAGTGACCATAGAAAACGACATACTTCAAAAGCTAGACTTTTCAAAGTTTTCAAGTTCAGTTATAATATAGCCATAAAAAGACAATTCTCGCTTTATACAGGTACATGCATGTTCTAATCAAGTTGTCTTCATGATCATTCTTGACTAAATAAAATGTGTTTGCACAAGTTTGTGGTTTATCTGTATTGTTTCCAGTGTTACAAGGCTTTGTATATCGTTAAAATGTTCTTACATGTAGATGCTTAACATTATGATTTTTACAGTGAATTTCACTCAGTTTGCTAGAGAACAAAATATCTATGATGGTAAAGGTGGGGGCTTCCCCTACTGCCTGGGGCCCAAGCCATCCATAATCCATCATTGATGATGGAAGGCTTACTGATCATCCAATATTTTGCAGACTTAGATGTAGAAAAATCACACCTCTGGAGACCAACCACTTGAACCAACTTTGGACAGTTTTCTCACTCTGCAATGGGTACTCTCCTGGGATGTGATTGCCCTACATCTAGATCTCAGATGCTTTCTCCGCATCCTGATTTCTCTTTCTACATTTTGGTTCATTCACAACGGTTGATTATTTGATTCACAGCCCTTTCCATTGAGTAGGCTATGGCCTCATATTTTTCATTTGGTGTGGTAGGCTTTTGCTCAGAAGTTACATTCCTAAGGCTCATTGTTCCACTACTCTGTGGAGATTTGACCTCTGTTTGCCTCATCCAACATGGCTTGTACTGTACCTTCCTTATCTTTCAGGCCTTGTCTCATTTGGGGTGACTTCTTTGGACATCAAGTTTAATCGAGACTCTGACTTTGTTTCTCATTCACTTGGAGGCACTTTGTACATCATATGCATAGCAGGCTCGTCATACTCCTTTAAGTCTTTGAAACATGGAGCTTTTGATACTAAGGCTCTATCTCCTATGTGAGAGGATTTGTTTCTTTTTGTGGACTCTTTCTTCTCTTGCATTCCTTGTTCCTCTTGAACATGCTCATACATGTTACTTAGGTGTTTTTTGAGCAGTCAGTGCAGGTATACAATGGTCCAGCGTCTTCTTTTTACCTCTAGCTGTGATGGCAGACAACTATATCCCACATGACCATGGACATCCCTCATACCCTCACTTCATGTGAACTTGCGTGTGTTTGGAATCTCCAAGGCTCATTGTTAAGTCTGAGTGCCTCTTATGTTCACTTATTCAAGTTTTTATACCTATTGGTGAGTGCAACAAAGGTGACACATTGTGTTACTATGTGCTTAACTACAAACAAACCTATCAACCAGTGCTTCAGTTCAGATGGGGTGCAGTTCAGGATGCCTGATCTCCAGAAGGAGGGATTTTCTACATCTAACTTCTCAAGATGTTGGCAACTAAGCATGCTTTCCATTGTCTTCTGTCTCATCTGTCTGGTCTTATCATAATCTATTTAGTAACCTCCCCTGTCCTTTTTCTATTCAACCACAGGGAGGCACTTTCTCTTGGGTCCTCTGTTTTCATTGGTCTAGACTTTCTTATTTAAGTCCATGACCACCACATTCAGTTGTTGGTCTATCATGGCAGGAGCTTAAGTTCTGGTGGTGGATGAACCATCTCCAGTTCACTTTGCTTTCCATTTCTTCTATATATATGATTGTTCTGTCCCTGAACATTTTCTGTGTCCAGTTCAGACAGTATGGGATTATTTTGCTTAAACTGCAATTGCCATAATCATTTCTTGCTTTGAGATCCCTCTTCCTCTCAAGATTTATCACCTTCCACTTGGACTGATTGGGTTCATCAACTCATTCTACTGGTATATTCTTCCATGGGCTAGGACACCTCTCAAATTTATCAGATAACCTTTCATTAGGTTTGTCATCACACGGCTTTTCTGCTTTTCATAATTAATATCTCTTGGATATCTTGCAGTTTGGGATGTTAATGACCCATGATTCATTTGGCCCCATTACTTACATCACATGGCAGTTTCACATGTATATGGCTTTTGTCTCCCTCCAGATTCCATTCTGTAGTCCTCACAGAGACTAATGCATGAGTATTGGTTACTTAGTTATTGTTTTCTTAACAGCTCCCTCCTCACCATTATTATATTTCTTGATGTATATAAACTCGAGACAGTGGAACCTACCAAGTAGCTGGGAATACTTTTCTTTTGCAAAATGTGTATTGAGAATAAGAGTACAACAGTGTTAAGCCCACTTAGTTTTACTCCATGCCTGTTTTTGAGATGGGGTTTTCTACAAGATTGCTTCAGCAGTGTATACATATTTCTCTTCCAGGCCATACTTTGCAGGAAACTAAAAAAAATAAATGACTGCACCAGGTGTGTGCCTGCCACCCCACTACATTATGAACCAAGCTATTCCTTGGGATAAGTCTAACCAGATGGGCTTTTTGTTCTCCTTGGGATCAGGTATAGGATGTTTTCTCTCTGCATCTGATTATTCTGGCGAGTACTTCTGGTAATTTCTTTTCTGGTATGGAATAGCCTGACTTGTGACATTAGCCACACCACACACTCATGCCCAGCCAACCAACTATGAGATAACAACTGGTGAGCAATCTTACATTTTGCCCAACAGTGACAGACTTTAGCACTAGGCAAAAGATTATTGTTTTTGCTATATCATTTGCTCTACCTTCTCTCTACCTGTGGGTGACATACTTCGTGGGTTTTCCTTTCTGATGTTATGGTTTTAGAAGTGAGCTTACCTTCTTACCTACACCTGCCCCAACTTTAGTGTGAGATTCAAGCACTTCGTTGTGTAGAGAGAGATGAGTAACATTTCTGAAGCTAACATTTTCTTGACCTGAATTTGTGGTTCAAATAAATACTCATCTCTCTCTGCACAACCTCCCACCTTTCCCCTCAACTTCCTGTGTATTTTTTTTGCATTGTCAAACTGCTAGTTCTCAATGGGATTACTGTGCATGGATAGCCTTCTACTGGTTGAGGGCTCTAGTCAAATGATGATTACATCACAGACTGAACATTACGTGTTATTAAATGTTGGGATGTGAGCTTTGTTCAAGGATTGAGCATGTGCAAAATCTTCATGGCAGTGGTGTGAGGTAAAGCTCTTCATTGTGCAGAGAGTTTATATCTATTTGAAATGCATTTTCAGATAAGGAAAATTTTAACTTAAGGTCTTATATTTATATTCCTCAAATAATCATGCATTTTTCAATAAATCTTCTCTCCTCCCCCCAATTATCTGGTAGTCCTTTGTAAATCTAAATATACATTTAGTTTTGTTGCCATAGTATTAGATGTATAGAAAACTTGCTATTAAATGTATATATAAACCCCAAGTAATAATGACTTCAGCTTCTGTCACTGTCATTTTCCTAATGAAAAAACCTGGTATTTATGTACATGTGTGTATGTGTGTGTGTTTGTAAATTTTTTATTAGAAGGATTATAATTAGTAATCTGATTTTGTATATTTTCAGCTATTTCTTAAGATCCTATCTTAATAGACTTTTGCAGGTATGTTGCATATTACATTAGGGCTTTTGAAAGAGTGAATGACATCCACTCTTCAGAACAGATAAAACAAAAGTGATACTTCACAATATTTTTTATTGACTAAAATCTGCTTTTCATAATGCTTCTTCAGGTGATTACAAGTATTACTTTAGTGTAGCACTGTAAAGTATAAACTGGGTTCCAAAAACCTTAATCACATCAGTAAAACTGACATATTTTTTGCAAATCATGGTGTAACTAAAAATATATGTGTAAAAGAAACAACATTACTTGGTTCTGTACACTTACCTGATTTTGGTATATTTAGACAGACCTTACATACAAGTCCTATTGCTATGTTTTCAAACAACTTTTGAATATTTTTTTATACTTCACAATTAACTAGTTTGGTATATCAAATATTGGGGTAGACTCCAATAGAATACTTGACATCATATTCTGGAAGCAGCAGAGGTGGCTGTACAAATAGACTGTTGATGCATCCTTTTATTTTTGAATCTTAAAAATTATTTATGAATACCACCATTTGTTTGTGTGTATGTGTTAGTGTGTTCTATAACATACTTAACATGTATTTTCAATATTGCAGGTCTCATTGAAGAACGACTCAACAATGAGAGCCAACTTCATGGTTCAACCGCATCAGGCAGTGCTTTTGGAGACTTTGCTAAAATGTTGATTGGAAAGCAGGATTCTTTTACCAAGAATGGATATGCTCTGGAAAGTTCTACCATTCCAAAAACACAATCTTATAAACCTGTATCTGTTTCCTTCCAAAATAATATCTCAGGAAATCACTCTTTGGAGTTAAGAACTTCTGAGCCTTCTTCTGAAAAGACTTCCTTGAGTGGAATTGAATCTTCAGAGTTGCTGAAATACAGACCTGGGCTCGAAAACTTTTCTACTGTGCCAGAAGCAGAGTCTTCCACTGTCCCAACAAATAGCTTCTTCATATCTGATTCAAAGTTTCTTCACAAAAATATTGCAGCACATTCTAGCATGGGGCAAGAACAGTTTGACAGATGTTATAGTAAATATAAAGTTGAAAATTGCTATGGAACTACCCATACCTTAGTAAATAAGAATTTGTTTACAACAAGTCATGAGCTTGCTTCTCAAGTAATTCGAGGAAATGAATGTGACAGTATTGCATTCACAGATAAACTTGATATGCCAGATGCTCATACTTGTCCAAGGGAGACAGTTTTAAAACAAAACAGAAACTGTCTTTTAAAAGAAGAGACTCCAATTGTAATGAAATCTGGTTGTTCCACACAGGTTTTTCATGCATCTTTACCTTCTGAAACACCTACAACTATGCCAAACCCTTCTTTAAGGTCAGGCAAGAGCAGTGTGTCAACTCAAAAAGAATTACTTGTTTTGAAAGAATCTGATGGCAACACAAATAAAAATTCTGATAAATATGAGGATTTAGTTAATGTGGAGCAAGATACTAATAAGTGCAATACAAAGTACATTGAAACAAGAACTTCATTTTTAGGTTACCCAGGTTTTAGAAGTGTAGCTCCTTTGGTAAAAAATAACTTTCAAGCTTTTAAAAACACATCTGCATTTTGGACTGCTAATCAGAACTTGCATATGCCAAGCTCTGTATATGGTACAAAAGGAGAAAAAAATAGAATAGAGTCTGTACTCCATGGCATAAGTATACACCAATTTTCTGTGAATCCAAAGATTGTCAAGTCTTCTGTGGAAAAGGAAATGCTTGCATCAGTATATTCCAAAAATGACATTCTTCCTACTCTTGGAAACAAAAAGAAAGAAAGTTTTCACAGTAACAGTGCCAAGACACAGTTCACAGGGATTTCATTACACAGAAGTGAACTAGAAAAAGAAGAGAGAGTTACTGATGATAAATTTGACTTGAAGACTGGAAGTGTGGTAGATTCACATGTTCTTCAGGCTGCTGGTCAGCTAGATAGTGTTTCCAAAGAGGATAGTTATTATTCTGGATCATCATCTCAGTTTTCAAAAGAACACATTGTAAGTGACAGTCATGCTCATTTAAGCTCACAAAAGCTTTGGACTAATAATCAAATGAACCAATTAAACCAATCAGAATTTGAGAGTTCTATTTTAATGAATAGTAATAATACTTTAGAACTTAAACATCCACAAAATCCAGAGGGCAGTATTATCAAGGATCTATTGTTAAAAACAAGAAACTCCAAGTTCTCTCCAAGTACAGAGAATACTGAATCATCTATAACCCAGTTCCATGTACTAAATACACAGAGGATCTTCATGTGCAATTCATGCAATGCTGTATTTTCTAAAGAAAGTAGTCTACTCACTCATAAAACCAGTAATTTAGATTGTATTGACAACACTAGTGATGCGCTATTCTCAAAACAGGATTCTGATTTATACTCATGTTCATCTTCTAGTGGTTTTCTCAATCAGGATTCAAAGAAAATTGGTGCAGAGTTTACTGACAAAGAACATGAAGAATGTCAATCCATTTTGAATTGTAATAATTACTTGGCTTCTCTCAAACATCAAACATCATCCTCTTTGGTTCAAAAAACTCCTCCTAAAAAAAGGAAGTTCCCAGAACAATTGTTTGGTTTAAATTATGATAATCCCGAAAGGAATTATCAAGAATGTCAAGAATATGAAAAACCCAAAGTAAATGATAGAGTGAATCATAATAAAAATGACACCGTGAAAAGCAATACACATGTAAGGTTGAAAACAATGGAAGGTAACTTTAATAAAGAACAGGCTATGACAAACTCAGAAATTCTTATGCCTCCAGTTTTTGAAGAAGCGAGATCTCCATTAACTTCAGTACAAACTGCAGACATTCTGGTTCTGGCTCCTGGAGCAACTAGTGCTGAAATTGTTGATGTTTCAAAAACACATGATTCCAGTGCTGTTTCTAATTCATTTAGTATAGTAAAGGACTGGCAAAAAAACCTAAAGGTTGCAAGACAAGATGAATCAGATGAACTTCTTTCAGCTCTCAACTTCAATAAGCTTACTTCTAAAGTATCAGAAAATTTGAACAGAAAAAGTATTATTGCTTTTCCTGATAAACTGCTTGAGATAGCAAGTCCTTTGAACCATTCTTCACTTAAGAGAAGTAACAACAATAAAAAACAATCATTAAATTCAAATGTGCCAAGTTTACATCTCCAGCAAGATCATGTGACCACTTCCTATGAATTTACAGACTATAAAGCTATGAATATTGGATCTAGTATGATGGGAGAGCCCTTTAAAGCGCAGGGGTTGGTCTCACACAATGGAAATACATCAGAGAAGGGAATATTCTTCAGCAAACTTGAACAGTCTCCATCACTAATTTTGTTATCACCTTCCACTTCAGATAGCACAATAGGGACAATCCTAGAATGTCAGGATAAACCAGGAATGGGCACATTGACAGAAACTTTAGAATGTTCAGATACAGAAAACTCCAACTCTTCAATCCCAGAGGTTCCAACTTCATTTAAACCAATTGAATTTTCTAATTATGGAAAGAGAAAGCGAGTTTCAACTAACCTTGAAGAAATGGAAAATGATAAAGTTTCTAAAGTGAGTTTGAAAAGACCAACTTCATTGCCACTTAAAAAGAAGCGGGTTACCGCCTGTATGATTGGTTCTACTTTGATAAGTCCTGAAACTCCAAGACCAAGGAAATCATACATTCAGCAATACATTAATGGCCAAGCTTATACATACCTTGGGCTAAAGTGTTCAACTCGCTCAACTTTTTGCTGTAGCTATCGACCACAACCTATGTATGTTCCACAGGATACAGACCCTAAACTGTCAATGTACTCTAACTGGCAGGCAGTTCCAGTAAAGAATAAAGTCCTAAACTTGACACCAGGACAACACATGGGGCTTTATGATTCACGACAGTGGTTACTTGAAAAGAAAAATATAATGTCTCAATCACTGTCTTTCCAACAGCTTATCAACACACACTCTAGTTATTGGATTTATAGTATGCAAAAACAATTAAATACAGAGGAGTCTCATCTCAGTAAGCCATCAACAGAACAGTTGAAGTTGGATCAATCAAGTCTTGAAATACAGGATGAGGTAAGTTTAAAATGTTGTGTTTAGATTCCTTTATGCTATAGGTTATTCTTTAGTATATAAAATATGATGTTTGCATTGGGAGTAAAATTCCATGATGATTCATCTGTACATGTAGAAACTAGTCGGTAACTTAATATAGCAGTGTAATTGGGATATCCATCACCATAATCAGAGCTAACATTCTACCAAGGTCAGACTTGGGTTTCAAGTTGTAACTTCCAATTATATATATATATATATATAGTGTGTGTGTGTGTGTGTGTGTTTCTGTGTGCTCACACATGTGAGTGAGTGAAGGAAGCCATAAAAAAACAGAGAACATGATATCAGTACCTTCATAGATATTTGCAGCCTTAAAGATGATATCACAGTGTTTAAAATAAAATTGTTAGCATTTTGCCCTGTACAGTGTAGTTCCCTTCATTCTCCAACATTTGTATATTATTATTACTATATATTTCAGTTTCATATATCCAAATACTTCATATACCCTATTAAGCTGTAAAAGCTGCTTCATTGGTTGGTTAAGTATAAAATGAATAACCAGTCAGCACAAAATAATTCATAAAATACAAATGTACAATACATTGTTTCTTTATTTTCTCTGTGCCAGCTTCTCAAATATTTAAAATATTGTATGTAACTTTAAGTACATATGGGTAAATTTTTTGATAAAATTTAATCTAATAGTTATTATATATGTTAACTCTCTCACTACAGGCTCTGTCCCAGGAACCAACCTCATAACCATTTATTGCTTGTTATAGTTTTCATGCTATAAATTTTAATACAGTAAGCATATCTTGCAGATTATCAGTAAACATTACAAAGCTTTTGTATACAAAATATCAGGTTTTTGTATCAAAGTTTTTAAGATTTTTTAAGTAATTATTTGCTCATGCATTTTTTCTTTTCGATTGTTGACTATCCAACATGCAGAATAATTATAATTTTAAGATGTGAAACCTTTATAATCTGCAAAATATTATCAAATGATTTTTTTAGAAAAAACTATATTTTATCTGTTATTTTCACTATTGTATCTCCGTACAGGCTTGGTTGATTTCATGGACCTCGTAACCACCGTAAAAAATTAGGAAATAGATGTAAATTATGCTTTTTTTGTTCTAGAATGACTACAGATTATAACACGAAAACACAAATGTTTAGTCTAAATAGCTGAAATCTCATAACATTATACATCTATATATATATTTATTATTTTTATTTTATTGACCTTTCAGCCATGCCTGACTGGCATTACAGAAATTGCAATGATGCGGTGCACGTGCACTCATGTTACCATATCCAAGAATATAAAACTGGCCTTTACAAAGTGACCTATCTTGGCTGTGTTCTAGTGGACCAGTATTTTGTAAAATACAGTCACATTTTAGTTATAATACATTATATAAGTATATACATTATTACTATTTACAAATAGGTTCTTAAATTTCAATTATTTTTCTTAAAACATAGAACAGTAAATAAAGAAGCATAGAAAACAATTATCTCTTCTAGCTACAAAGTTTATACTCATTTGCAGCTTGCTAAGCCTTATCAATATTCACATGTTTTTTTTTCAGTTTTATATTTGCCTTTTGAAATAACAAAAAATCATAAATTACTATATCAGTACCACAGAATTCCACTATAATTTATCAAATTTAGTAACTAAGCTGTATTTTGATCTTATGATTTTTCAAGCTTACTAATGTCTTACCTTACCGCTTAGAATCTAGCATGAAAAGAAACACTTAGTTTGCAGTATGTTCATCTAAGGATAGGTTTATTATGCTGATAAAATGCCCAGTGCCTTGTCTAAACTTCTTTCGATAATATGCTTGTAGTTTCCCCTGGGACAAGTAATCTTTAAGATATAATCATTTTACATATGGAGTTTTCTTTATGCATAAACTCTGTACTAAACAGCTGTTGGTGGGTTAAATGGTGTAATGTTAAGATTATGTCCTCGTATACTTTTCGGTAGACACATTTTCAATATTAAGATATTGTGTATAAGGATTAAAAGTTTTGTTCTATGCATTTTTATAAGGAGCAGTGTCTACTTGTAAGAGTATATCTCATGTATTGAAAAGTGTACAGTAACTTAAGCTACTTTATAGGCCTTGTTTAAGTGGTGAAAAATCTAGTAACCATTATGTTTTTGTTACAGAAACAACTTATAAAAGCTTTACAAATCTGTCTGTTTTTACCTCCTCTGTAAATCATTATCATCCTTACACAGTACATTGTTTGCTCATCTGTAAAACCAATCAAAATTTGGTTTTGATTTCTGAAAATGGCAAACAAAATTTTTTGTTCATTTATTATAGAGGTACTATAGTATATACAAAATATATATTTAATATTCTTAAAAAGAACAGTTGTTTGAACTGCTGTTTAAATAAAAAGAAATTTATTCATTATTGTGTAATAATAATCTCACTTGTGAATGCTTTAACCTTTCAATATCATTCAGGTTTTGTTGCTAACTGAGAATTATATATTATTACTGCACAGTTTTGTACATCAGCTCAAATTTATGTATGTTCATTTAGTCAGCATTAGTAGTATATTTGTTGTACACAAAATCTAATTTATTTTTCATGAGTGCAGCAGTTGTGAATTCATTTATGTGTATATAACCCTCTTATTGAAATGAGCAGTTAAAAAGACCCATTGGCATGGCCAAGACTGACTTTTCAGTAAAAACCAGAAACAGGAAAGAAGTTTTTGCAAATTTATGCATTGATAAAATATATTATTTAGATAAATACAGTGCAGAGGTAAATATTTTTCAAAAAAAAATCGCAGATTTTTTCTGTAGCCTTAATCATACTCCTAAAATTCTTCTCTAATTTTTCACTCTCTTACCAGTTGACAACAGCTCTATAGCAGCCCAGCTTTGGCAACAAAACCAAATAGTCAGTATACAGTTTGTTGTTGTTGTTTTTTTTTTACTATTTTTCTTTTCCCTTTGTTTGGTTTTCTTTCTATTTTATGTCTTTTTTTTTTTCTCATTTTCCATGACTCAAAAATTCTTCCTCAATTTTCAAATTTATCCCCATATTTTTTAAACACTTATTCAGAAGAATGTTTACCTCTGGTGCAATGTACACATAAAATTCTTGAAAATAATAGCATAATTGTAAATGCACATTAAAGGCCTTAATTTATTCTGCTTCTCTAGGACATTACACATAAAACACAATAGTGATGATATAATTACTTAATTAACTTATCTTGCCAATCCTTAGAATGGGAGGGGTTAGATAATTGAGATTTTACTAAACCACAATACACTGTATAAAGATAAGTTGTTTTTTTCATTAGTTATACAATGTTTATTGTTAGAAACATGTACGTGGTGTTGCAAGGTTTTATCAAGGTCTTTTAAATGGCTCAAATTAAAAGTCAAATAAACATATTTAGTCAAAGCTCTCAAATTTTCATATAAAAGATATACTTTTATTTCACTGTATTTATATTATTTTAGATAATCGTATAATAATATTTTATTGGAGCTTTTGTAAATAAAACAAATTTTGGATTTTTCATAAAGTTGCTTCAGAGAGAAACTGATATAGTTTTGTTACAGTTCAGTGATATTTGTCCAAGGATACATGTATATAGAATTTGATTTCTTCTATTAAAGTATAATGCTTGGCCACAGTGATTCCAGTATGTGCTTGGAATGGTTGAAGTTCATTCTGTACATTGACCTTTGTTCTCTTGTAGAAACCAGAAAGTTTATTTTAAAGATTATGTATGTTTACTTGGATACAGTAAACAGACACCTTATCTTCATAGAAAGAGTACATCTAGATATGCAATGCACACATATATACTGTACTACAGGTATATGGGTACAACAGTACTACACCATGTGATCAGCGCTGTATCCTATCGGAATTTTTTTGTTTACTGCTTACATGTTTATTGAATTGAATCAGTATCATGTGCAGTATTGTGGAATTTATGTTGCTACAGAGTTCACTTGGTCTTTGGTTCATCATTCATACATGAATCACTATGAAAGTTATCTCTATCATTTTTTATAAAGTTTAAGTTATCTGTAATGGCATGATTAAACTGCAATGTTGTTCTTTGTAAATAATAATCATGGAATCCACTATCAATAATTTAGAAACTTTTTGTTCATTGTAAACTTCCTTAAATTTTTTTCTTTTATTGACAATAAAAAGTTAAATTTTTAAAGAAGAGTACCAGGAATCATTATCTTGATCTTTAATGTTTAACATGCACAGTCATCAAGAATAATTAGCTTTCTTTTAACAGATCATGAATTCAAGAGTTTGTGAAGTACTTCCTTAGCACAAAATGACAGTTGATCATTAGTCCAAAGCATTGTATCGTTTGTTTGTTACTTGGTATTTGTAAATACAGATAGGTTGTATTAACCTTTTATGCATTATAATGTAAGTGCTTTGACATATAATATGTAATATTATTTTTGTTGTATTTATATTTAGTCATTCTTTGGTATGCATAAACCTGCAGTGTTCTCTTATGTGTATTACAGTAGTCTTTTACACTTGGACTGAATGGCAATGACCACACAGGATTTCTGTTACCATCATTTTAAAATTAACAAAGATCAATCATCAGTCATACCTTTACACCAAGTATGAACCTGTCTTTTCAGTATTTATTAATAGATTCATGATTGCAAAAAAAAAAAATCCATGTTTCATAAATACTTCATTTGTACAGTCATATACTTTGTACTGCATATGAATTCTGTAGCAGTGATTAATACTGAGAAAACATTTCCAAAGTAGCATATTTACCAATTTTATTTCAAGTATATTAACATTAAATTTTTCCTAATATGCAGAAATGTCAAAACACTTATTTGTACACTGATTAGTATAACAAAAGTAAAATGATACAATTTAACCTTTCAAAAAAAATGTACTTCCTTCATTATACCAAAGTGCATGTAGCATTCACTGTAACACTGAATTTAAAACCCTTTTTTATTTTGCTTTAATCTTGTTACACTTGTGTCAACATACACTACTGTGCAAAAGGTGTTCCTAATGAAATATAGCAATAATGCTTTACTTATTTGAATATCTTCTAAATCATATGTTTGGTTTATATTAATTATAAAGAAATAAAATGTAAAAATGCCAGAACTGACAATAGTTATGTTTTGAAAACTGGATGATGTAGCTTTTTCATCTTGTAATACTGTGACTATTATATTAACATCCAACATGAAAAAATAACATTCCACACATTTATTAATTGTCTATTCTTTAAATATTAAAAAAAATTCCTTAATCATTAGTTATTTGCTATTGTAAAAAGTGGTTAAAATTTTCTTTAGTTTATCACACTAACATGACTACTTTCAAGTACAAAGTATGGCTATGAGACACATGGCTTCAGATAAAGTAAGACATAATAGTTTGTATAAAGAGGGCTACAATCAGCAAGAAATGCAGAAACTGGAGTTCAGAAAATACTCAAAAGATACAATGAAACTGATAACAATGATGACAAGAGCAGGCCTGGAAGACTACCTAAGCTTTATGGAGCACAAGTTAAGCACTGTAGGCTTACTTCACTCAGGGACAGATGTAAATCTAGCGGATATCTTGCTGCAAATCTTCAAGAAACCACTGTGTTAAAGTTGACCTTTCCACAGTGTAACAAGAATTACATCAAGAAGGGTTGAAAGGGTGCATTGCAGCAAAAAACCTCTGTTATGGAAAGGCAACAAACAGAAGTTTGCAAAAAACCAGAAAGTTTGACATGTATATGGAGAAGAGTACTTTGGTCTTATGAGTCAAAGTTTGAGGTTTTTAAAACCACTAGATACCAATATGTATTATCACAGGAGTGATGGGATATTAAAGAAAAAAAATTTGCAGCCTATGTTAAACATGGTGAGGTAGCAGCCAAGTATGGGACTGTTTAACCACAACTGGAGTTTGTGATCACTACTCTATTGATAGAGTCCTAGATTCAGCCCAGTAGAAAAAATACTCATTCACCATACTGTTTCTTATGGACATCATTTAGTGTAACAACATTCATTTTTTGCATGGTAATTATCCAACCATACAGCAAATACAGTAAATCATTATCGTAATAGAAAGGAAGAAATGGAACCCTTTCATGCTCAGTGTGTGTGTGTGTGTGAAGCTGTCTTGATTGAGAAAAACAGCAAAGATGTGAAATCAAAGGAGAAATGTCGCGTGATTTCAGCAAAGGGTGGTCACATATTAGAGAAATACACTGTAAATTTGCTTTATATGCATTTGTTTTGCCTTCAGGAATTATGGAGTTCTGAAATACTTTCACTTAAAGTAATTCTCAGTAAGTTTTTAATTTGAAATACATTGTGATGATTGAGTGGTCTCTAATTTATGCATAGTACTACATGTGTAAGAAATAACTGTTTGAATTAAGTTGCAGTACAGTACTGGTCTGTTTTATATCTACTGAATGGTCTAACAGTAAAAAAAATGTATCTTTCATATGGAGGGAAAGATTATGAATAACTGCTAAATTGCATAAAATTACAACGTTTGAAACATTTTGATATAGTAAATAGTAATAGATTGTACATTGAAGATGAAATATCAGATCGTACAGTTCATCCATATTATGCTTCAGGTGACTGACATATGGTTCCAGAATCATATCAATGTCTACTAAACTAGTTGTGTTGTTTGTAATATTAACATAATTTGGTATATGCTTCTTGGATTTTATCAAATAGAAAATAGCATGACTGTGTGTATATTACAATGAAATTTCATTAACTTAATGGCCAGCTAATTTTCCAAGTTCAACCTGGTAGTTTACATTATTTTACGTTTTTTTATTTCAAAAACATCATAGAAATTTTTTTGAAATTAAGAACTTCCTAATAGTGGGATATGGCTTGCTTCTGCCTGTCATAGCTTGGTATACATGTACTGTGTATCATTCTTCTTGCTAAAGACATTTAAGACCTTTGCCTGGCTTGAAAACAGGTCAAAACGTTGTTGGAAGACCAGTATAGGCAGAAAAAAAACTTGTTTTGACCATCTTTGCATGCAAAAGAATCCCATAGAAACAACATTAGAAATTATAAGAAACTCAAATATGAATTTTGTTGCAAACTTTATTGAAATATTGATAGTTCTAATGCACATAATCACTAGCAAAATATTAGCTTATCACTTTCAAAATTTAAATACTTGTGCTATGTTTTGCTTATAACATACTACTTACATTAGATGAACAAATACACAAAACAGTCTTTTTTCTTTTTTATACTATGATTATATGCATCACTTAAAATCTTCAAAAACAAAAGGACTAAATTTTATCAGTGACAGAGGTAAGTATTATTTTAGCTGAGTAATAAATTAAAAGCACATGTACATGAGATTACAGTCAGATTTTTAAAAGAAGTTGAGCATTCTGTATGGAAAGATCCCTTTCATGGCACCTTTATATTATTGTCTTTTTTGAAGTAATGGCATGAGAAAAATCTTGCTTCTTTAATACATATGTGGCCAAACGTGTTTTCCATGAATTTTTCTGGGATGTGTTAGTTATTCATGAAGCAAATATTACTTGTATACATTTTGTTTAGTACCTGGGAGATTAATACCCAGTCATCTACCCTTTCTCTATCTCAACACTTGTAGCAGTATTAATATCCATGCCAGTTAGGCATACATGTACTTTCATATTTAACAATATTGCCTAAGTTTCAGATTCATTTTTCATATTTCAGCATTGTACAAGTAGTGTTTCCATATGAATTTTTCCTCATAATAATTTCTGTCGTATGAATTGATGGGAACAATTAGATCCATTTTATAGTGCAATAAATAATCATCATAGTGTGTTCTTGTTAATTGATTATAAACTTATGATCAATGTGTTTGCTTATGCTCATTACAATTTAAATAATATTCTTAGAAGTTGGTTTTCATAGATATAAATACAAATACACATAAGTGTTTGTGTGTCTGTGTGTTTCTTATATATTAATGTGTAAAGGAAGTAAACTTCATTGTTAACTTATTTTGTGTGAAAACTGATAAAGGTGAACAACACATCAATCTGTGATGACAATAAAGCTAATACTGAGAAAGACAACAATAATTGGAGAGAAAACAGGATAGTTGCTGCAAAAGAAGTTACTACTGAATGGTATGTTTTATAACCATAAAAATAATTCTACATCTGTTTGTGACTTTAATACAAGCTTTGGTTGTTGGGCTATTACAGATTAAATATTAATTTACAATGATGAAATCTAAAGGAATACATGAAAAATACTTATTAGCACTAGAGGTGGGTAATTAACTTGATAAATCAATAAAAACAATTACCTATGAATAATCTATTCATGTTACATAAAATGATTGACTAATCAGTTACAATTAAATTGGTTAATGTCATGAAATTGATTAAATAATTGAAATTAGTGTTTTTTATTTTTCCAACTATCCATTAATCAAAATTACGATTGATGTCATGGAAGTAATCAACTAATCAAAATTATTATTTCCAATTATTCCAAATATCTAGATATCAAAATATTGTCATATTATTTGAACTATCCAAGTAATCAAAATGTTGCCATTATATTTGTTGTTAAGCACAAAGCTAAACAATGGGCTATCTGTTCTCTGCCCACTGCAGATATTGAAACCCAATTTTCAGTGTTAATAATCATGATAATAATTAATTAATGAGCCAGATGATATTAAAAAATTAGCAAATTCTACTAATTGCCAAGCACTAATAAGTACAATACGTAAAGTTATTATTATTATTATTTTTACATTTTATATGAATCAAGTGTCTCAAAATATGTTTTGCAAGTTAAAGAATTGTCTTTTTTTTTTTAAGTTTTAGGTACATAATACTGAAGTTCATTTAGTTTTACTTTTATGTACTGTAGATTGTATTATAACAGAAGTGTATTAATAAGTAACTTACATCTTAATTAATAATTACTTTTATGAAAAAATTAGGATGTTTTAAATGATTGTTGATACACGTACGTGTATGAATGTTTTTGAAATTGGTACTACCTTCGCTCACATAAAATTAACTTGACTTTGATTTGTCTCTAAGCGTTGGTCAAAATTTTTTACTAATAGCACACCGGTCTATTATAACCCTTTATTTAGTGCTATTTCAAAACGTACATATCATGTGACTACCCTCCACCAATCATATTGTGCCACTTATACTAGCGCATGTAGCTTCCTCTTCTATTCTAACACAATCCTCACTTTCTTAATTGGCATTACAGTGCATAGATGTGTATTTACTTCACTCCATGTTCTTGCTTTTTTGTTGTGATTGCCTTTCAGTACTTCATCCACTTAAACATATAGTGTTTGCTTTTGAATTTTAGTTTTGTTTTTTGAAGAATTATTCCGTAATTGTAATTCTAATTTGAAATATAAATTCCAATTTTGTGATGGTGGATGATGAAGTTCTTGCCAATTTTGAGGATAGTAATGTCCCTAGTACCTAGCAAGGTAAGTTAACAGTATCTACCAAGGAAGTTCAAGCCTTAATTTGCAGGGAGTTGGACACTTTTGCTTGGCAATCATTACGTTCTCCCTTTCCACCCGAACAAGCTTCTGAGGACGAATTTATTCAGGATGAAGATAATTTGGACTCTATTTTTCTGACCCCCGGCCTTTTTTTTTCCATCAGTCACATAATGCTGACAGTCAGGAGAGTGTGCCAACCTCACTGTTCCTACATCTTATTGATGAGGTATGTCACATTTTAAATATTTCCCCCTTAGCCCTTGATTTCTCTCTTATCGTGTTGAGTGAAGTGACTCGTTCTGATTATTATGTTTTTCCTTCCTCACCCGACAACCAAGTTCATGCTCAACATTTTGCTGATCAATTGCTGTTGGGTGCGCCCCCCCCCCAGCAGGCCTCAATTCTCTTTTTGGATTCCCAACATATGGATCCTCTCCTCCCCCTGTAGGGCTCAAATCCAGGGGCTTTCGTCCACTTTAATCAATCAGTCTCTCACACCTGATTACTTTTCAAGAAGCTGCTCGGGTGGGGTTTCCTATGATGTTATAGAAGTCCCTTCTAACCCCTTCACAATATCTTATTCATTTAGGAGTTCTCTTCAATTCCAATCTCAATCAGACCCAGCCTTCACCACTTCAGCTCAGGGATATGGAGCAGACACTCATGAAGACAGTACATTTGCCTTCTCTCACTGCGCATGAGGTTCTATTTCTTTTGGGACCCTGGGCTTCTTTGAAAGCTCTCATTTACTTGGGTCGGGTGCACATGTGCTCCCTATAGTGGATGTTTATCAACCAGTGGAAATTCTTCCACAATCCCTTGGATCATCCTATCACCCTCCCTCTTGGGGCCAGGGCTGACCTTACATGGTTCCATTCCTTTGTCTCATCCTGATGCTCACCTGTTCCCAGGTGCTTCCTTGGTAGGTTGGGAGTTTCCCACGAATCCAGGGCTGTTCAGTGGGCTATGTTTCATTTTCTTCTGCTCCTCCTGGAGTTGGTGGTATTAGTTCATTCCACAAGTCCACTGTTTTCAGCTATATTGCCAAACAAGCCCTGTACTGAGCCCATGATTACTATTTAACCTTCTTAGCATGTCATGTTCCAGAACTTATGGATCTGGTGGCCAACAGTTTGTCTCATCCCAAACAAGTTCTACCTATGGAATGGTCCCTTCATCCTCAAGTATTTCAGTGGGTGTATTATTGCCTAGGAACACCACAAAAAAGATGCATTTACCTCTTGCTGGAATGCCAACTACCTTCCTTTTGAGCTCCTTTTCTACACCCCTCAGTTCTGGGGATGGATGCCTTCATCTGTATGCCTACCCTCCTCTCAGACTAATCTCCAGGGTCGTTTCTATCATCCAAACATGATTTGGCTGTGTCTTCCTTGATCGGATATTGTCTTCCTCCTGTATCAATGCACCACACATCTGTACACCTTTGACTGGGATAAGTTGACCTGTTATTATTTTGTATCTTTTTTCAATTGATATACATCATATTTCAGGATCCCACCTTGTGGCTGGTGTTGCTTGGTCAGATATGCCAAATATTAGATCTTTGCACTAAATCTGTACATTTCGAAACATTCACTGTAGAGATGGGGTGTTTCTGTAAGACCCTTGGTTGCTTTTATCACAGACACCCATTGTGCAGTCTCCAATGTGTCATTCCTCCAGACTCCCCAACAAGTATTCTCCCATCTTTTTCTTCTAGTGGAGCATGAGAGTCCTTACCACTCTGGTTCCCAGTTGCTGGAGTGGTGGTCCATGGAGATTTCCTCCTGAGAGGGATCATACAATGAGAGAAATCAAACTCATAACTCAGCAAGAAGAGAGCTGTCATTGTTATAATTCTTGAATGTGCAATAACATATTATTCTGGATCCAAGACTCTTCCCCCGTATATATTTTTCCCTGGCTGACCACACTTGTTGATTATAATATACATGCTTATGCAAGGTGCTTCCACAATTTATGATCCTTTAGCCCTAGCCACTTGTCCCTATATCACATTAGCTGTAACCTTACTGTGACTAATTTTTCCTATATCATATACTATGGCCTACTACAGTGAACAAATACTACACTATCTATTGACATTGGGCTGATTCCGAAAAATTTGATCTTACTACTTATTTATGATGCTCCCTTTGTTTTTTTTGTTTGTGTTTTTTTAAGGGTAAGATTGCTTTTGTTGCTACCAATATCCTTGACAAGACATCAATGGACTTGCTCCAGTGTGCCCAGGACTCTTCCTTTCGCACATAATTATTTGGTCTCGTTGTCAATTACATACCAGATATTTCATATGTCCACTCTATGCTGATTCATGTCATAGTTATTCTGCACTGCTCCAAAGTAACGTGCTTGACATCTTTTTCTTGAGTATATAGTGCCTACCTCATACATTCCAGAAGTATTGCTCTACCCTACAGGTGTTTCTTACTTTCTTCATCTCACACACCTGTTCTTTTCAGGCAATTGTTATTCATTTATTAAAATACTGTCACTGGCCCCTCCACTTTTTTAACGTGTAATTCTAGCTTTTGGTGGGAGGATGTAGTACCGTTTCAGAACTTAACATTTTCCTACATTGAAGATGTATTTCTGGTAGGTACTTACCTCCTCTCATCCACTTCCCACCCTTCTTCCCCACTGATATGCCAGTATTTTCGTTTGTAACTGCCAATTATCGAAAGGGAGGATTGTGTTAGAATAGTAGAGGGAGCTACCTACACTAGTATAGGTGGCACAGTATGATTGGTGGAGGGTAGTCACATGAAATGACACAAAAATCAAGGGTATAATAGACTGGTGTGCTTTTAGTGAAAAACTTTTTAGTAATGCTTGGAGGGCAAATCAAGGTCGAGAAAGCTTTGGGTGAAAGGAGGTACCTTTTGGAAATACATTTTGAGTGTAGAAAAATATTAACTTTTGTGGTTCTCATCAACATCAAACTGTTGTTCACATGTATCCTTAACTTTTATTGATTATCATGTTATTCACTGCAAGTTATATATATACAGTTTAAGTTTCAGTTTAAAGTATTTTACATAAGTTTTTCCCATGTCAGTTTTTATAAGCCTTAACTTGTATTTTTGTATATTTTAAAGCTGTTTATCTAAAGTGAGAAGAGATGCGGAGCCAATATGTGTTGAAACTGAAAGCAGAATTAAGCAGAATGATCGAGATATACAAGCAATTGAAAAACAGAAAGTACAAAGTCTGGAAGCATCTTCTTTGTCTGAATTTATAACAGAATTTGATTCTTTAAAAAGTTAGTTCATTTCTACTGTACTTAATACTCATATGACAGCTGTACAAGGAATTTTAAAATTTTCTATTGCTGGTTGCACATCTGCTAGTTTGTAATTTAGAGTGGGTGCTATTACAAAGACACGAATGGTTGTAAGATTCTTTACATTATGTGTATTGGTAAGATGTGTGGATCTATATAGCAAACAGTTGGTGTATTTATGTTTTGTAAATAACCTACTCTGTTTTACTCTATAGTCAGTTTTATTAAATCTTGTTTGTTATATTGTTTCAAATAACTTTTGAATATTTGTTTTTAAATTATACAAAAACTTTTACATTTCTTTTTTATATGTTGGAATACAACTGAAATTATAATTAACAATTCTGATGCATTGCTTTATAACCTATTGTTTCTGATGAGTTTATTATATGATTTAATTTTTATGAAAGTATATGTTACTTTACATCATTTTAAATCTGGAGTACATAATTAGCTCTGAAACCACATTCTAAGCCAATCTGCAATTGTGTTGCTTAAATGTTGCCTTGGAAGCCAAAATACATAAAAAGAGGGTATTGTGGACAGTTTTAAAAGATGTATGGTCTAAAATTGAACAGAAGCTTCTTAGAGTACAAACTGCAATGCATACTTTTGACCACCAAATTGAGTGTAATCAATGGGGGGGGGGGGGTAGTTCAAGAAGCAGCAACACAGGTACAGTGCTTTACAGTAAGGAATTAAACACACTTGTAGAATAAATGGAACTTTATTGGGACAGAAAAGTATATATATATGTATGTATACGCATACATACAAGTCTGCAAAATCACCAGTCTTCAGGACACAGATCCTTATTATTTGAATTCTACTAATTGCTAAGTTCTGTTATTGATAATGTATCCATTGCTTAATATTTAATAAAACAATGCCTTTTCTGATATACAGGCATGTCATGCATTTTTTCTACCTCTTTAATTAATATGTAGAATTTCTTTTAATTTCTATGTATGCAGAGTGTGTTTAGTTCCTGTTACAGAAAGTCAGTCAAGGTATCGACTAAGTTCTACTCACCATAATTACACTTGGAACTCAGTCACTTTGCTAGGGTGTTACATACTGAAAAGATAGTTGTAGTTTTACATATCTTGTAGCATCATTCCTGTTGGTGAGTCCAATGATACCCGAAGAGCATAAACTGTATTAAATGAGAAGTAACTTTTCAGGCTTTTAACGTGAGTACTCATATTTGTATTAAGTAATTTATTTGGACTATCACCACGTTATTTTAGTTTTTCAATGCACAAGCTTTCAGCTCAATTACCTAAGCCTTCTACAGATGCGAGATGTTTAGTAAACAACAGGATCTAACCCGAAAATATCATCATCAACGTAATGAAGCCAAAATTGAGGAAGGTGTGGTGAAGATGAAATGCCCATAGTTTCAAAATGTTGCATATAAATTTCAACAAAAACAGGAGAAAGGGAAGAGCCCATTGGAGTACCATCCTTCATTTTGAAGTACTGATAGTTCCAAAGAAAATAGCTAGATTGTAAGCATAATTATAAAAGTTTGATAATATTTTTAACTGAGATTAGTGTTCTGTCAGGAACTGAGACATCCTTATGTAGTAAACCTTCTATAATACTGATAGTATCAGAGAGAGGAACTCTCGTGAACAGGGATACTACATGAAAACTATCAAGAATATGATTATTATTAACCTCTTTGACTCTAATAATCTCAGCAAACTGTTGTGAGTTTCTTAAGGAGTATTTGGAATTTCCAGCTAAAGGTTACAAAATCTTAGACAAAAATTTTGCAAAGTTATACATAGGGGAATCTATATAGCATACAATAGAGCATAGAGATATGTCGGGCTTGTGAATTTTTGGAGGACTATAAAGTGTGGGAGGAGAACAATGATGAGAAGATAACTGTTGATACGTATCCTCCTACATGCATTATCCAAAATCGTGAATTCCTCCTTCATACTTGCTGGTTACCTTTCATTAAAGAAATCAAACCATGCATTGACTCTAATGCTATTGCAAAATAACCTATTTGATTATATCATTCTAGCATAACAAACCACAATAATAACATGGCTTATTATGTTTCTTGGCCTTGTATTATTATTTTAGTTTAATTTATTAGGCTTCAGGCTTAATGTTGTAAAGAAACTTATGGCACGTTCTTGTTTTCTGTTGTTGCTAGGCAATTTGTAATTTGAATTGTTCCATTAGATCCTGTTGTTTACTAAACATCTCGCACCTGTAGAAGGCTTAGGTAATTGAGCCAAAAGCTTGTGGATTAGAAAAAAACTAAAATAACATGGTGATAGGATAGTCCAAATAAATTACTAAATACAAATTTATTGAATGAGATTTATAGTCACTAGGCTGTCATGAATACTCTGAGTATCCTGGCCTTTGTTTCATTTATGTATATAAAGCCAGTTTCTCTCAGATATATTCAGAATTGCTACAGATTTTAACCAGCTTCAGAATAATGGAGAAAACTGCAAAATGCTAGAGAATTAAGCCAGAACTGATATAGAGAATGCCAAAACTTTTTCCAAGCTATATATATTATTCAGAATTGGATCCAGCTCAAACATGTCGAACTTAGGCTCTAACTTAAACATTTGTAAATTGTAGAAAGAGAGAATAAAGCTGTCCACCTCTCTTCAGTTGAAAATACAGCACAAAAGCATTTGTCCAAGTACTTTGACTGTTTTTAATGAGAATAATGATTGTGAATGTGTACAAACTTGTGTCCAGTCACACTCTTGTAGATCAGACTCAGTCAAAATTGAAGGAACTTAGGAACTACTTGGTGATACAGTCTCTATAATATTACCAGTTTTGGGGCAGTTTCCACCCATAATATTCTTACAGAAAATCAGGGCAATCTAATACCACACTTTTATAGCTGGAGCTTTGTTTCCAGAGTCTGTCATGTTTAAAATAGTTTCTTTACTTGAGAACAATTCTAGTACCAACAGAGGTGATGTCATTATACTAAAAATGTGTTGTAATTACTTGAGTTGTTTAATTTTTTAAACTAAATTAATATAAAATACAATAAGTTTCCACACAGCTCTTAAGAAAGGGAGGGGATATAGCAAGGTAAAGCTTAAGAAATGATTCTTTCACCAAGAAGCAGTAGTGTATTATTTGGCAGGGCTCATCATTTATTTGAATTAGGATGTTGTTGGTGTGTGTTTTTTTTAAATAATGTGTGTGTGTGTGTTTTTTGTTTGTTTTTTTCACTGTATTATACTGTCTCTGTTAGTACATGTACTATTAAACAAAATTTTGCTGCATGAGTTTTTGCTCTGGATATCCACAATTTGATACTTTGAAGGAACAGCCAACTGCAACACTGCAACTTCCATTTCCTATTCTCCCTTATTTACACTTTCTCCTCTCATAACAAGATATTCTGCATCTACGGCTCATTCCTCCTGTTAATGATTTTTCTTCATCTTGTTTTCCCTTAAATGGCATCATGCCTGATCTGTCTTTTCCTAAAACTAAATTCTCTGTTGTTGCACTCATGCATCTCTTACATAAAACACATTTGGATTTGATGAAATGAGTTTTCAGTATCATAATGCATTTTTTGAATGTTTTCTTTCTATATAAGTCTTAGGTCTGAGTTGCATACTCTGCACAACTAAAGTAACTTATGCCAATATTAAATTGCTGCTCCTTCCCACTACCTCTTTGACCTCTACATAGCATTCATCAGCTTCTTTTATTAGGGCTAATGAAACAAAGTTTTTCATCATCATGTCTATATTTCACCTGAAGCAGTTTTATAATAGCATACAGATTATCTTTGCTTCAAATCAAGTGGCAAACAGCATCAGGTCTCAATTTCCATCACATAGTGAAAGATGTGACTATTCTTGTGATGTAAATGTTGTTAGAAATGGCACTAAGCCATGCTAATAAGCATGCTGGATGAAGTAGTGCACATCCTTGAATGTGTGTACACTTACTGTTGTATATTTTCCATGTACTTTGTCATATTCCTTACAAATATGTACCATTTCTCTATTTCAAAGAGAACAGTGCCAAATCAACCATGTTGCTTTCCCTATGCCTTCTATGTTAAAACAGTTTTGGAAATAGTATTACTAATGTGATGTATACAACCTGACTGTACTGTTGTTTATTACAGATAACATGTTCAAAAACAACTACAAATGTTGAAATAATAATTCCATCCCCTTGTTTTGTGATGTGACAGACGATTTTCGACCTTCAGTGATACCTATCCTTCAGTGAAATTAAGGTTCAAGCCCTTTCCAAAGTATTTTTATGGTGTTAATGCCTGATCTAAATAAAGAATGTAGTGCTAAAAAATAGAAGTCCTAATACAAATGTCTTATGGCAAGTATAATTAATTAAAATCAACTTGCAAAATTAGTTTGATTGTCTGTAGATGGTATTCATGCTGTCAATTTTTTAACTAAATCACCACTGATATATTCAATAACAATAATTGCTCTTTCTATGTTCTTCAAAATAAGATTATCCCAAATTTACTGTCAAATTTGTAATGGTTTTCAATAGTGGTTTTATTAATAAGTTAATTATTTTTGTCTGTTTATAGTTAAAGAAATTTAACATTTTCTGCGGGTTATGCAGTTTTGTGATGTATATTTAAGTATATACATGTTGCTTTAAATACAAGTTACATCAGATTAATGTTTTGGAAAGATGCACAAAATAAACCAAGAGCTGCTCTGTATATCTGTAACATTGATTTAAACACAAAATATTAGTGAATCAATAGATTCTGTTTAACTTGTTAAAATTTATGATGCATATTCTATTTTTGTAGGAAATAAACCAGCTGATAGTTCACAAATGAGTAAAAGTGTCACCAAGAAGAATACTTGTGAAGCATTATTTCAAAATAGAAGTGCACAAAAAGTTCAGAAGTCTAGTTCAAATCAACTCATGTTGTTTTCTTCCAATGACAGCAAGTCTTTGCCATCTTATGATTTCCCAAGCTCATCAGCAGCTAGCCAGATAAGAATACAAATTACAAGAGAATGTATGGTTCCAGATGACAATGTTTTATCACAGCAGTACCAACCTTTGGTAACAGACTCTTCTGATGGAGAACATCATTCTCATTCTTTATCATTAGAATGTGATTCACTTCCCCCAGCTAATGTTCAAGAAATTTGGGATAAATCACTGCTGGCTGAACAGCCAATAGATTTGCGAATAACAAGAAATATTGATCCTGTCCCTGAGGAGAGAATGGTGGTAAACAACAAAGTTTCAAATGAGTTAAACACAGCAGTTGAAGACCATCCTTTAGAGTGTCAGAATTCAACAAAAACATCAGATGAAAAAGAAGCTGCTAACAGTTCTAAAGCTCAAGAAGTGGAACAACTCTTAGAAATAAATGATAATCAACAAAATAATTTCAGAACTTATACCATTCTTAGATCCTCAACCTGTAAATCTCCAGCCATTTCTGAAAAAACAAATTCTATTTTGGTTCCTACTGAGTCCTCAAAGTCTAGACCCTGCATTGAAAACCATTCACATGTTAAAACTTCTAAGGTGCATGAGGAATTTATTGTAGCTCGCTCTACACAGGGAAATTCCTTTGATGAAGGAAAGTCTGTTTGTGAAATCTGCCACAAAAGTTTTCGAAAACCAAGTATGCTTCGTTTACATCTTAATATCCATTACTTTGAAAGGCGTTTTCGCTGTGACAGCTGTGCATTATCCTTTCACACAATAGGTCATCTGCAGAAACACAAACGCTCTCTAAGCCATAACAACAAACTGAACAGGAATTTAACTTTTGGCTCTGTGACAGCTGATAATCCACGCCCTTTCAAGTGTTCTGACTGTAAGATAGCTTTCAGGATTCATGGACACTTGGCCAAACACTTGCGCTCCAAGATGCACATAATGAAGCTAGAATGTTTGGGGAAGCTTCCTTTTGGCTTATATGCAGAAATTGAACGTTCTGGAGTTAATGTGAATGAAATTGACACTACAGACTGTGAAAACTCCCTTGAGAGTCTCCAGGTGATGGCTCAACGTCTTTCCAGGCAGGAACCAGACAATCTTCACTGGGACACTGCCAGTTTTAGTTCTTCAGAAGAAGAAGATTGCAGACAAAGTCCAGCATGCACTGTCTTTTCAGAAGTTCAAGCTGTTTCCTGTAGTGATAGCTTAGTGTCTACTGCAGTCCAATCTTTGGTGTTAAGCCAGAAGTTAATGTCATCAAAATCTGAGGTAAAAATTGAGCCTCAAGATAATGAACCAATCACAATTAGTAGACAGTTCAATAAATCTGGTCAAAAGGCTTTAATTTGCCAAGTTTGTCAGTTACTCTTCAGCAGCACTGAAGAGATCAAAAAGCATATGTCTAGTTCCCACCAAGTAGTAATCAGTGGAACTGAAACTTTTATCCATGTACCACAAAGCAAGTCTTCAAAATCTGAACAACTAGATGTTAACAGTTATTTTCCAGCAAGTAGCTCAAACGTTTCTTGTAGTATGTATGATAAGGAGTTTTCTAGTCAGGAGACACTGCAGAATGTAAGTTGTGCATTGATTCATTTTCTTATCTTTGAAAATATTCAATAACTTTTTGTAGCTTAGCCTGGCCTAGTCTATCTGTCAATAATTTCATCATTTGTATAAGAAAAAAACATCAGAAATTGGGGTTTGCTAATGCATCCATAATATGACATGTTAATTTCTATAATTTGGTAGATCAAATACATGTACTGTGGAAAATAACTACAGTAACAATTTGCACACATTTTTTAAATGACTTTTTATGTATACTTATACATATTCATTGTTTTGATTGTTTTCATACCAGTTAAAAGTAAATCAGTCAAACCAGAGAGCCCTTGACCTCCTCTCCTTCATTTTTTGGAAACCCACTTTATGTATCAAAACATTTCTTTGTTTATATTTGGTGTTGAGAGGCATGAAGAATTTTCAGTTGTTTGCTAAAACAAATTGTGGGAGGAATTCAAATATTAAACAAACATTAATACCTACATGCATAGATGCAATTGCAAAGTATGTGTACTGTGTATCTTAGAACTTTGATTTTTTAAATTTAATTTTATATGGTAATTTGTACTTAAGTATTAATGATATTTATGAAAGCATTTTGTACTATATATTACTAAAGATCACTTGAATGGTAATAATCCCTGAGATAGCTCTATTATGATAATAAAATGTACAAGTAATTAATAAAGATTGCCCATCTTCACTGATTTCAAACTAGCATTGTTAGGTCACAGTTTGGTCAAACAACATCAAAAGAAGACTAGTAATTTTAATCTGAAGTAAAAATCTATAAACTACATTACTTTAATCAACAAAAGTAGGGCTGATTTTTTGTAAAAATATGAGTGACAAACGGTAGGAAACACAAGGCTACTGGGCAGCCTGCATATGGTAGAATTTAGAATTTCAATTTTGTAACTATATGAATGTATACATATATATGCACACACAGGCAATATTAATATATAATAGTTGCATTATTTTCAATATCCTAATATTTTCTCACATCAAATGCTGCAGTTATGTCAGCCTACTGTCGGAGTTAATTATATACAAACTTGACAAACTTCATTACAAGGATAAGAGAAAAAGTTAAAAAATTAAAACCTGATGAGTAGATCATTCGGTATATGTACTGTGTAAAGAAAAACAACTAATAATGTATTATAACATTAATACTTTTGTGTTTGCACATGTATTGGAAAGTTGTAGACTGTTTTTGAACTTAACCCGTTTTGACTATATATATTAAATACAAGCCAAAACCTGAAATGTTTTTCTTACATTGGTTTTAACATCTGCATTTCTTTTTACATTCTAACAACTACTACAGCACTATAGTGTCAATCAACAGTGACAGCTGTGGTTAGAGATATATAGAAAACTTCTATTGATATATGCCACTATTGCTTGGTTCAATCAGCAGTTGTTTTGTAATCCACAGAACATTAAGTGAAATTTGGCCTGAGAGACTTAGATTTAGGGAGAAAAAAAAGAAAGATTTTTTGGTTGATTTTAATAAGTCATTCTTGTTTTATTTGGTTCAACTACAACCCAGTAAAGTTTACGAAAAGCAGAAAACGTAATAAACGTAAGGAAACATTACCATATATCACCTTCTATGGGAGCCGTATATCTTTAACTTTGAATGTTACTAGAGCTAGGGGATTAGTGGTATTTATTAATTAATTAGGACAGTATTCTTCAAACCATGGTGCATACAAGCATGAAAAGAAAAAAAAACATTGGTGCACTTGCTGAAAATCAGTTGCCCTCTCTGGGTCAGAAGTTAAATAAAAAAACTGGTGGCGAGTCCTGCCAGACAGTTGCCTACCTTCTAGTCAGCAATTCAAAACTAGTGACATTAGCAGAAAGCCTTAGTAGCTTTTAAGTAACAAAAACAGAACCAGCAAGTAATTGATTGTGGGAATAAATAAAAACACTAATTTTTAGTTGTTTATTTTCTTGACATTCGATATAATTGGAATTTCAATTAAGCTATTGTAGAAATAATCAAAAACAGCAATAATTAGAAACAATATTTTCAGGTAACCTATTTAAAGGTAATTTCAATTAATCAATTAGTTTACTTGACACTCATAGGTAATCAATTAAATTGCACAGCTCTGTCAAATATAAAATATTTCATTTTCTATGAAGATATAAAAAGTAAGTATTGATCAGAAGTTAATGATAGAAGCTATTTTACATTCTAATAAGAACTCTTGTAATTTTTTTTAGCATGTTTCAGTATCTCAACACAAGCAACCTTTTGACTGTACTGACACCAGCTGTGCTGGGTGTACTTAATCTACTTGTATATTCTTGAATTACCTATGTCATAATGTAGGTAAGTATTTAAAATGCTTCTTTTTTTCTTTTAAATGTACTTCAACATTTCCTATTGTAATGACCATCATTGGGGTCTTTTTTTATTAAAACTTCTATAAACCCAATTATTTGGTAATACACCTTTAATGAAGTTATTTACCACATAATTTCTATGTAGTAAAAATTGTTTCACATAAATGTAAGAACTGGTCTTCTCTCAAATTATCAATGCAGGTTAAGATAAATTCAGGGAAAAAAAACAAAAGGACCTAAATATTAATTATTTGTGAAGAATCTCCATAACAATCATGCATATAAATGTATAAGTGTATTTTAGCAACAGCTTATCATAAAGTATTCATGAAATCTGTATGCAAAAGACTTGCTAATACTTTTTTTGTTAAGATTCAATATGACCACCTTATATATTCATGTTTGTAAAAACCAGAACTATTATTTAGAACCAAGGTGTTCACAATATATAGGTTTGACTGTATAATGTAAAATTTTTCTTCACTCAAATACTTTTTATAAAGGCAAAAATTGATTTCAAGTCTGTCCATAGATAAAGATGTATTTATAATAACACAACTTTATGTTAAAGCTATTTTTTCAGTAATTTTCATTTGTATGAAATTTTGTGTTAGTTCATTGGTTCCTTACAAAATATTTGCATTTTATTTTAATTGAAGAGAGTACTCAGACTAGAAATTGTGCAATAAAGAGGTGTAATGTTTTCTGCCATTTAATCAGATTGTGTAACCCAAGTTATGAAAATATGAAATGTTTGGTAGTAAGTGAAAACCAGTAACAATTAAAATTAAGTTTTGTAACTTTCTATATATTTTTTCTCTCTGTTTAGAAATGTTACATATTTCATAACAAGACGTCAATCATCGAATATGTAGCTGTTGAAGTTAAGAAAATGCTACAATTGTATCTGTCTGTGC